TGCATATCTAACGAGTGACACTGCCCAGGTGTTTATGGCTTGTATCAAGTTTCCACCGTTCAACTTCGAGTGGGCAACTTTTTAAAATTTTATTATTATTATAATTATTATTACTATTACTATTATTATTATTATAATTTATAACGATTATAAAGTTCCAAGTTAAAATTGAAAATATGTACATCAATTGGGAGAAGGCAGCTTTAACTCAGCAAATTTATCATGTTAATTTGTCTCTTTCATTTTAATTTTCTCTCCTGCATTTGCTTGGTTTTCTTTTGTTTTCAATTTCACACATTTTATTTGTGTTATGTATGTTATTCTAGGTGACACCTACTGTATAAAACTTGTATGTTAACTTGTATAATCAAATTCACTCTAGTTGTAACTGATGCTGACAGAACTTCCTGTTAAAACATCTATTAAAACTGAAAAGTGTTGTCCTTATTTAAAATTTAATAACAAAATAAATAATAAAAAACAAATTTTCAAGGACCAAGACTGTTCAAACAATGCGCAGTTCCAGAAAATATCCATATCTCACCACAGAAGGGATCGGAATTTCCTGAGGGTGGGGGGTGGGGGTTGCTGTGAGACCAAAAATTTTAAAGAAATGCATGAAGCTTAATTAGAATTTCCAGAGGGGTGTCCTGAGAAAAAATCCCTTCCATGGGAGAGGTATGAATATTTTTTGGACCTACACAATTTTAAACCCTGCTCTGAATGAGCAGAAATACAATTAATTTTGTACAAAGATTGAGACAGGAATATTTAATGTGAGATAGGAGACAATGAATGGGGTCAAAAGAAAAAGGTAGGTTAAGGTTAACCTGCAGTGCAGGTGTATTTTGAGTACCTGTGTGTACATTTTCATATCAGGCCAGCATCTTGGCCACTTCACCAACCCACTACCAGTCAAGCATCCAATTACAATCCAAGATGGTGACATCAAAAACATGGTTTAATAAACGTTCCGTTCTAAAATAATGCCTGCACTGCAGCCTAAGTATAAGTCTGTGTTCAAGCCTAATGACCCATCTCTTCTGTTTTCCATGTTGACTGGCAGTAATCCTACTCCCCAGGAAGTCTACCACACCCCCAACATTTAATTCCCTGTTACCATAACTCACATAACATTTTAATTCACCTGAGTAGACAGAGGTACGGTGTATTACCAGTGAGATGGTAAACTGTACCAGTTACTGTAAATGGTTGGCAACAAATTAAATACAGAATACATTGTGGTCAAATTGACATTTTTGTACCTCATGAAAATGAGTTAATAAATACGTCATCGATGTTTATTGTTCTAACATGCCACATGTACATGCATATTTGCTAATAAAAATAGACCAACAAAGGCACTCTCTGTGGTTTATATCTACTGTATTCTTGTAATGGGATATATAAACATACACATGTACTAGTTTTACAAATCGAATTTTTCATTCGTGGCTTCAGCACACACCATGGTTGAACTACAGACAGTTCCACTCTTTCTTGTAATGAACACCGCTCACCATAACAACTAGAGAAATTCATCAAGTAAAGCTACATTCGTACCAAAAGAAAGTTTGCAGCAATTCCATCATTGTCACCAGTTGGAATAAATGAACAGTGATCCAAAACAGGCTATCTCATGACAACATAACTGAATAGACAGAAGGTTTCAAAACAATGGAAACTAGAAGCTAGCATGCTGAAGGGTCTCATCAATGAACGTCATGTACTTTATGTAGCTAGTGATAAGGTATTCTACCAGACACGCATGTATTGAACTCACCGCAAAAGCTCTATGTAGCCCCCCCTCCCATCCCTCCTCTTCTCTTTTAAGACCCCACCACTCAAAGTCCAATCTCACAAACTTCAAGCAGCACCATTGATCATTCCCTATTACTCAGCCCAGGGCTTCATATGGACTAGCTTATTTATGACTGAAATAAACTCCAGCCACCTTCACTAAACCTCTTCTTTCCCCACCCCCTTCACCCTCCCTGCCAGGGGTTAAATAGACCTATTACATCATACTTATTTCAGAGCTAAGAGTGCTTAAAATTTGCTACGAAAATAATGAAGATCAAACTTAAAAGATATAAACTACATCTACTGGAAACATGAGTATGATATCCTGGATGAGTATGATAGAGCTGTACAAACACTGTACTATCGATAAATACGTGTAAGCACTGTAAATCCATTCTCTCAATAAGTCTCTCAGTTAAAACGCTCTCTGTCTCGCTTTCCCTTCTCCATTTTCACGACTGATAGTGCCGTTAGAATACTCGGTCTCCTTCCATTCGTAAGCAGATGAAAGGGTGCTCGTATCTGTGGCTGGTGGTGGATGGTTCTGAGAGGCTGCGGTGTTGGGGGATGATTCATCCATAGCTTCTGCAGACCGAGCTTGCCTGTTAGGTCTTGAAAACGCTGAGGCTATTTTCCTGGCAACATAGCGCCCAGCTGTGGTGAAAACAGAAAAAAAATGTTGTGAATGCAAGCTACATAACCACCTATTAAAAGACCAGCAATCGAAAACATCACATTGAAATAAGCCCCAGAAAATAAAGCTCAGTGTTTCCTGAAATAATTTTCTAATAACACTGCGTCAAAGTTTATCTTTTATAATATTTACTTACCGTTAATTATTAGTCATACCATCCTTAAAACTGTTAAAACGAACCGAACTTCACTTTTCTGCACTCTATTCCCAACTGACCAACTGTTTATACTTGAATTTGTTATGTCATTCCTTGGTAACCACCCTTTCCGTCTTCGAGGAAGCCTCGTTCCCAGGGTCTTCTCCACTTTTCTAAAAACAGAACCGGGTTGAAAATCGGAAATGAGGTCTGCTTTTTATGGACGTTCGCACGAAAATTTTCCAGTCGATAGATTTTTTTTTTACATGTAAATTTTTATTGCGGTCAGATGATGAGTTACTTGTGTCAGAAATGCAAAATCAAAGGAAACTATGAAGAAGCCGTGGATACATTGCCTGCATACATTTACTTGATCTATAATTAGTTTAAAGTTAATAATTTTTGAAATGACTTTTTGAAATTGGAATATATTAATGAATTTTGATTGGCATTGGAAAATAATTATCATTACATTAACTTGTACATGTAGTGTCAATTGACTTCTACTGTCTGTTGCACAAGGAAGCCATTAAATGAGAGTTCACCATAATCACGTCTTAATCAGTCATAAAATTGAAATCAGTTATTAAGTTAATCTTTCAG